GTTCGGTGTAGGAATTGGATTGGGTAATGTAGATGCAGGTGGGTTTTCTTCAATGCTTAGTGGTCGGGGCTATTAATCTTAATGTTAAAAGAAATAAACGTTGAAACCAAGACAAAAAAAAAAAAAATTCAAAATCATGTGTCTCGATAATGATTTTTTTATTAATAGCCTTATTACAATTGAATTTGAATTTTTTACTTTTTGGAGAAGGGTGTCCTTTACTACACTATCTTTATTTTGTAAATTTGGCATCTTTTCGGAGGTTTTGATAAATATATTCTAAAGAGCCTAACATAATAACCTCGTAAGTCGAATTGCCTCCTTTTGTTCGAAAAACATTTTGGACCGACTGGCTCTCTATAGGCATAAATGACGAGTCAAAAGAAATACAAAATTCCACTCCTTCGGAACGAGCCAATGAAATCGAAAGGGAAAATAAAGGCGTTAGTAGTTCCTTAAAATGTCAACCTTACTTTTAACTTGCGGCTGACAAGGTTACTATTAATATAAAATCAAGTAACACGAGAGAAATTAATTCATCAATATTCTGTCTGGACAACATTCAAATGTAAATGCCGCATGGAAGTAGGTTCAAGTCACCTACTACACATGGTAGATAGGTATTCAAAGAACGCAAAGAAGCAAGCCTATTCTAAATGGAAATTTTATCTACATGCGATTCGATGTAAGGATGCACAAAGAAGATAGGATATTTAATGTAAGCGGGTTAGGAGAAATAACATCAAGTTTCTAATGATGCATCTATTATTATCTCATTCTTTCGGAGCCGGAAAAGAAAGAATTCTAATGCTCGTCTTGCTATAAATAGTTCATCTCAATTAACAATGTGAAAAGTGTGAAGCGAGACGGGAGGTGAATAACATACATATCGCTGAAAACTAGACTCATGCCTTTCCTGTCTTCATATCATCACTGGATGCAATAAGGATAAAGTGATAATTCAACCTTAATTCCTCACGTTCGGAAATTCTTCAGGCTCGCAGACAAATCTTTGATTTGTCGATCTCGTTTCCATTTGCTTTCCCTTATTTGACATTAATCCGACAGATTCTTCAAAGATGAGCGGTAATGCAAACTTTGGAATGGTATCAATTTTATTAGCAGCACTAAAATGGTTTAAACAATGTTCCTATCAGTGATTTAGTTGAAGATCATAAATAAATTGTATAATAGTACAGGTTGAACATCGTAAGATGTAGGGAGGTAAAGTATAAACAAGGTCATAATGTTTGTGCCTAAAGTCAAATTAGTCAAATTCCTTATATTATTATATAATATTGACGTTGGGAATCGTAGCCGTGATATATTCCTGCTTCAACTGGAAACAAAAATTTCTGAATTTGATGAGTTAATATTCAGTCGAGTTCTTGATCACGTGACATTAGAATAATAATAATAGCTCCTTATTATGTAAAGTGAATCAATCGTTATTTATTTTAGTTTGCTCCGATAGTTTAATCCTCATATAGCCTATTTACGAGATAACAATAATAAAGCCAAAGTTGAAATGACACAAATATCAGATCTCACGTTATTTAAAGTTTCTATATATGAAGCATTTGTAAATAATGGACACATAAAGTCAACAAGGCCGATATGGAAGAATCCATGTAAGCTTAAGGAAAGTTTGAATTTTCTAGACACATGCAATAAAAATTTCTTGCGTGAATTACAGGGGTTATAGGAGGTGCAGCGGCCTTTACCGGAGGTTTGTGATTCAG